AAAGATTTTTAATATTTTTCAAATGCCATTATAGCAATAAAGTAGGAGCCTTCAATTAAATTTGCAAGCTTTTTTAACCAACAAATAAAATGTAATTGATATTTTTAGAAAAAAAATTTAAAAAAAATGGAAAATGAAAATGTCCCTAAACAGTTCAAAAATATATCAAAATATTTTGAAAATATTATTGTGTATAGAAAATGCAAATATAAACAACCAGTGAAAATTTCACTTATCTACGGTGATTTGTTTTAAAGTTACACCAAAAACCAAAAACGATTTTTTGGAAAACCGATTTTGCGTAAAAATTCCCGTTTTTCCTTAATTTTTATGTTGTTTTTCCCGGCGCTTGTGAAAACTACTGAGAAATTTTTACTTTTGACCCCCCAAAGTACCAACTAGATTCACTTTCTAATCGAACAAGATACTGAAGTTGAAAATTGAAGCATTATTTCGACTACTTATCGTGTACACAGACACACAAAAAAAAAAACACACATCACTGTAAAATCAATACATTCATCGTTTCACTCAGAATCTAAAGAAAAAATTTTAACTTATTGTGTTTCTATAATTCAACAACAAACTAAACATATTTCTTTTATTTGTTTAATATTGGCGTTTAACGGCATTTGTTTAACGGAGTCGAAGAGTGCTCATTTCTCTGTACATATAGCTAGGTACCATTGTATTTTACACTTTGGTTTTGTAGGAATCTAGTCCCTGTAACTATTCAATCTTAGTTACGCCCATGTATATTTGACGATATTATTGTGAATAAAATAATTTATATATATGATATAACATACATTTTATAAATATTTTTAACTACAAAATCATTATTAAATTTTAAATTTCATACTTTTTGTCAAAATTCAAAATTCAAACTTAAAATGATTATGAAAATAAAATTGTTCCTATGTTTTTTAAATAGTTTTCAACTGCTATAGTAAAAACATATCAGGAGCCTTGTATTAAATTTTCATGCTTTTTGTCCCAACAAATACAATTTTATTAAATAATATTTATAGGAAAAAAAAATTTTAATTGTCTATAAGCAGCTCAAAACGAGTCAAAATATTTTCAAAATTGTATGGTGTACAGAAATTTATAATATAAATGACCAATGAAAATGTCATGTTTTTACGATCATATGTCATATTTCATGTTGTAAGAGTATAATCATATTGCTCTTTATGCTCTCAATATATTATAGCAGACCAAGCTAGGTTTTGCGATTTATAAAATGGTGAGTTTATAGATGAACATTTGGATGCATATTTTGTCAATCTTTAGTAACAATTTACGTACCTATATTATACGTATTTAATATTTTCTAAAAAATAAATTGTAATTATATTTTTTTCCTTAACCTGATCGACCATGGTAAATTAAATAGTGCCAGTGAATTGCCTTAAACTCCGTTAAATGTAAACTATGCTTACTTTTACAACATTAATTTGAGTCTTATATTAAACAAAAAACAAAGGTCTAATAAAGGTGTAATATTATTACAATTAAAATAGAATTAGAACAATATTTACTTTCTCTAAAAAAGACACACACTAACCCACACTACACATGAAGTGCCCATTTTAATAATATATATTATGTTATAGTAAAACTTCATTCTACTATGTTTATTTGACTTGGTTAGATTCATGAAGTAGTATAATATTATTCTGGATTCCGCATAATATAGTTGGACGAATAAGGCAATTTCACACTATCCATCGACATAAAAATATAAAATTAAAAAAGTCTATAATGTTTAATATTAGGTTATTGATTGAGCCAATCAGAGAATAATATGTAAATATTTGTACAGGTTAGGTTATATTTATAATTTGAAAATGTAGGATATAAACATTGTTGATTGTATGTTGTATTATTTATAGGAATCTAAATAATAAGTACTTTCATTAATTTTAATTAATTAAATATATTATACATACGATCCGCAACGTAAACTAAAAAATAGTAATAATAATTTGAAATTAATGTGGACCAATAGTTGACAGTATACTACATTTAAAATGTAGGTTGATTGGTTTTTAAAAATTAAGAACCTTGTAGGTTATAGTGTTATACAGGGTCAACTATTTTCAAAGGATTTTTAGGTCAATCTAAAGTCTGGACAAATGATAGTAATAGTCAAAGCCATTAGACAATCATGGTTGATGGCCCTTGTCAACTAAACAGATTCATAAATTATAGCTATAATTGCACTCATCAAGTAAGTAAATATTTTATGATGATAATTATTACTTCTGTTATGAGACACAAACCATAAATTGAATTAAAAAATTAAACAAATCAAAACAATTCATAAATACAATGTGCAGGTACTACGTACCTCTGTTTTCTAAATAAAACGAAAAAATTCATAATATTTAATAAATAATATTATAACTTATATGATTTACAATCTAAGAACTATAAGGATAACATTATCATTGTCCTTCTAAAAAATGTATCATTGAAAATAATTTGAAAACGATCTACTGATGGCTTTTGAATGAATGTTGATGTATTATTTAAATTTATTATAAAGCGTTATTCATAAATTACTGTACTAATTATAAAAAATAATATGTATATACAGGGTGATAATTTTATCATGAAACACTCATTGTTTCAAAAAAATATTAATGTTTTTGAAAATATTTTTTTACATAGTTTTAAGTTGTTAAACAATCATATTTTTAAATGTTTTTTATCCTCATCATTTTTTAAGGATCTTACTTTTTTGAATGACAGCATAGAGTTTTAATTTCATATTCTAAAGCAGAATATTTTTCTAAATATCTTGATTCACAAAAATCGAATTTAGAGCAAGTTTTTTATGAGTTATAAGTATTCAAAGTTTAGGTGGGCGGAGTATAGTGATTAGTGGTACGAATGTTACCCCGCAAAATGTTTGTCCACTACTCCATTTGTCTAAACATTAAATACTTATAAGTTATAACTCATAAATTACTCAACCTAAATTCAATTTTTATGTATCTAAATACTTAGAAAAATAATGGAATATAAAATTAAAACTCTATGGTGTAATTCAAAAAAATAAAAAACTTAAATAAATTTAAGAATAAAAAATATTTAAAAATATGATTTTTAATAAAAGTGTGGTTTTTTTAACAACTTGAAACTATTTAAAAAAATATTTTCTAAAACATTGATACTCTTTAAAATAATGAGTGTTTCATGATAAAATAATCACTTTGTATGTATATAGACAGTAATTACTTGATATTATATTTCAGTATACCGATATTTTAATTTAATATAATAGTATTTTGAGTAAAATCTATTGGTGCAATAGATTGAAAAGTTATAGTTTACTTTGCAGTTAATAAATAGAAAGAATATTGACATTAAATCCATACATTCCTGACTTGAAAAATTTTAGGAATAAACTCTATAGTATTATGACTATCTTTTTACACAAAATTAATGTGATTACGTACCATTTGAATCTGGAATAAAATAAAAACTAGTAATTAATATTATTAAATACTCATAATTGATTTTTACTATAATATCACAGATTCATGGCTAATATTAACATGTAAGATTTATCTTATATTTTATAGTATAAAATAAATTTATGATTAAACATAAAAAAATACTTGCTTGATTTAGCTAGAAAAGAAATACATGTTATTAATTTACAAGTATAATTATAAATTATTTGTAATACATTTTTATGATGAAAGAGGCGAATCTAGTGGTTTCATTGAGAAATTTTCAGTAAATTTAGGGAATGTCCAGTAGGACACCAACTTTGAAAGTTAAGAATCTTTGATAGAAATAAAAAAAAACAATCCAAATTTTATTATATTATGTACAGTACTTTCATAATTAATATTTACATGGTTTATTAATTATTTATAATATTCTATTCTTTACTAGTTCGTATAACAGGTAAAACTTTAATAATAACTTCATAACTTACAAAAAAAAATTTTTTTTAATTATAATTAGAATAATAAATTTTAAAATCTAAGTTTATTAAGTCCCATCCATTCACAATGCTCAAAGTTGCTAACAATTATGAAGAATTAAGACATATTTCTGGAACATCTAGTTAAAAAAATCATTTTAAATAGGTAAGGTTAGATTATATTAGGAAAATGTTTGCACTTATTAATCCACACTAAAAAAGTTATAATCGGAATCGCAATGAATAATCAGTACAGGCTAGATATATAGGTAGGCGCATAAAGTGTAGCTAACCAAATTACCATATATTTGTTAGAATTCACACTCGCCCATTTTAGAACGTCTAAACTCTATAGTGTTCCAGATGTAAAATGTATTTTATGTGATTTCCAATTTTTAAAAATCAATTTTAAGAGAAGAAAAATATTATTTATGTTAATTCACCAAGAATCTTTCAATTAAATAAAAAAAAAAAAGATCAATGAAATAATAAACTCAATAAATATTTCTTACCAACCAAGACAGCTGAATAGTTAAAAAAAAAAAAAAAAGTAATTATTGACCATATTAATTGTCAATAAATATTAAATATTGAAGGTCCATTAAGAGACTAGGATAGGTTCTGTCAAATATTAATACAATTGTTATAATGCAATAATTAGATTTCTCTATCTAAGGGTATGTTAATCAAATTGCATTCCAGGTGCCTGTCTTCGTTTTACAACAATACTTTTACTTGATACTTTAAAAATAATTCAATATAATAATTACAGTTAATTTTAACCTTTAGATGGTGACGTTTCGGATGAACTGCAGAGCGCTTTGGTGATAACTGTTATGGTAGTGATATTTTCCTTAAATTGCAGCTTTGGTGATCCTGGTCTCTTTTGCCTGGTTAATTTTGAACTTATATGGGCCACTAGTCACACGTTGATTCATCAGTCTAGTTTGACTCATGCATTGCATTGCTTGGTAGGAGGGACTTTTGGTCCATCATGGCATATCTTGTCAAAGGCTTTTTCAAAGTCGAGGTAGACTGTGTCTGTTTTTTCCTCTCAATATGTTGCGTTAGTCAGGTGGTCGACTACTTGCGTCAGTTGGTTTGTTGCAGAGTGCTGTGGACAAAAGTCCAATTGTTCCGGTCTGATAAACGGGGACAGTGTTTTCTTGTGATTGATCAGGACTTGGATTTTGAGTACCTTCCCCATGGATTTGATCAGTGAGATTGGCCTATGGTTTTTATGATTTTTAGGTCCTTCCCTGGTTTGGGAATCATTATGACCGTGGCCATTTTCCAGGGGACGGAAAAGTGTTGATATCTGAATCAGGTGTTCAAAACTTTTGTCAAAACCAGAAAGGTCTTGTCCGAAAAGTGCCAGAGAGCCATATTGGGTATATCGTCTGGACCGGTCGCTTTGTTCCGTGGTTGACGCTTGATAATGAGCTGTACTTCCATTAGCGATACTGGTTGGATTCTGGACTTGGCTGCTGAGTGTAGAGTTTGTATTGAACATGTGACCAGCTCGTTTGTGGATGGAGTTCCTTCAGGACAGGCGAAGTGGGCTACTAAGTTTGCGGCGAAAAGTTCTTCTTTGCCAGGAGCGTCAAAGACCGGGCCTTGTGGACTATTTAGCGGGCGGTCAGGAGGTCTTCTGTTTACCAGAGATTTGTTAAGTTTATAGACTCATAAGTATTTCTCGTGGTTTCACAAGATCTCGTCTGTGAGTATTGCCTGATTTTATCTTTTATTGGTTTTCATATTCAAGCTCAGGCAAGTGAAAACACCATCTTCGATACGAGCTTCATCCCTTCTATTGTGTCACACTCGTTTGTCTCTAGTGTTAATTTTATTGAATCGTTTTACCGGGTATTTGTTCGTATATTTGTTTCTTGGTAATCTTTAGAAAGACTGTTTTAGTATTTATATGGACCATTACAATATAAATATAAAAAGTGGATTAAAAATAAATGTTGGTTTAAACTTTATGGTTCCAAGTACATACATTTTTTTGGGTACAAATATAAAATTCCACATAAATTAAATTAGAAAACTATATAATATTCACTTACTCATCCAATCTATAATAACAAATTATTAAAATGTTATTTTTACTACATATCATATTGTAATTAATAAAAAATGATAAGTCAGGGTTAATTGTAAATTACCACGGATTAATAATATAGGTAGGAAATCATTTTAATAATATGTCAACTTATTGTTTTCTATTGAACTATAACGGTTATACCCTGCTGAATAGTACACTTCACACTTCGTGTGTGCATTGAGTACCAAAGTCAATAAGTGATTTATGCGTAAAATTTGAATTCAATGATCAATCATTATGAAGCAAAATATATTTAGAACTGAGACTGTATGTTAGCCTGTATTAAAAAGTATCTCTTAGGGACTGTTCTTTTTGCGACTGTCTGTATTTTTTTTCAAGTTTTAATATACTAGCTGACCCGTCACATCTTCGCTCGTGATTGGTTGTTTATTCGGACGATTATTTGTATAATGTTTTATTCAAATTGTATCGTTTAATGTGATCAACAAGTAAATATACAAAACGGTTAATGATAACGTATTGAAATGTTTCTAGCGGTATTAATGATAAATATATTTTTATTAAAAATAGCTGATCTCCCGTGCACTTCGTTGCTCGTTATGTACCAACTCTATATGACCCAAACTTTGTTAAATTAGTTATTTAATATTCGGTGTATGGCGTTCAAACCTTATCTTAACTTTTCCGTTGTCCAGAATAAAAATATTGATTCCCAACAGTATACGTATTATCAGGTAGGCAATCAACCTAATTGTACCTTACGAATGTTTTGTTAACAGTTAACACGTTGATATTACGATGTGCATGTGTCGAAAAAATAGTATTGGGACCTAACCTAACCTAACCTAACCTTAATCATTTAATCATGACCAATAGGCAATACCAACCTTACAATACACAATAATATATTTATATTTAGTTTCTTTTCTTACTGGATATGGCACCTAATTTCAGATTTGCTACTTTTCGGGTGGGTTTTCTTAATATGATATTATTTCAGAGTTAACTTCTCCTGACAATTACGAATACAACAAAAAAAATTAGCGAAATCGGTCCAGCCGTTCACTTGTGGTACAGCGTCCAAAGGAATATATATTTAATTTATATATAGATAGATACATAATATAGTATAATAAAGATGAACAATTCTTCATATAGACTTGGCGACAAAACACACACAAAAGAAAAAAAGTCAGGTTCCAGGTAGATGGAAACCCCCGGGCCGCCTTGCCGCACAATATGTATAATATTATAATAAAATTAGCCTAATTAGGTATACAATTTATATGTTTATTTTATTAATACAAACTAATTATTTATTAACGTTATCGGACTAAATGTATGCCTTAAACCTTCTCTGTTATATCCTCTTTAATTAAAAAAAAACTGCACGACGATTGAATAAGTAGTTTCGGAGTTTATCTAGAACAAAAGAAAAGCGACTCCATTTTATATAGTAGTATAGAAACGTTTTATAACCGAAATAATGGTCGGATCTTCAGCTTAAGTACTTTTCAAAATATTAAGAATAAACAAAGTAGTATAGAAATTATAGTATAGTATTTGTATGCCAAATTAATTAAATGTTTTTTTTTAATTAAAAAAAAAATGTATGTAGCGTCTTGAAATTTTACAATTAAAACCGTACTAAAGTTAAAATTTGTTTGAACTTCATTAAAATCAGAAACATTTTTAAATTATAATATAGGTCTGTTCATAAGGTTTAAATGAAAAATAACATTTTTATAGTATATTGTGTAGCAAGGGCGGGAAGTGAGCTATTTCAGTGGTGCGAGACGTAGGCAAGCCACACATACCGCCCTGCACTTTTGGGAATTTCCACTTTACCGCCCTGCACTTTTTTTAATTTCCACTTTACCGCCCAGCACTATTAGGGATTCCCACTTTACTGCCCGCTGGACGGAAAAAGGACGCTTTCGAACGCTTCAACCGCTATCAAAAATCAAACTTTCCATGTAGGTGTGACAAAAACACTATTACAATATATTAAAAATAAATAAATAATACGTACTTTCGTTTACTGTAAATAATAATGTTTAACACATTAAGAATTATATATATAATATTTTCTACAATTTGATAATAATTCAGTGGCATATTTATATATTAGCACGGTATAACAAAAAAATATACATTTTGGGATATATAAAGAGAAAGACGTTCACATAAGTGTTACATTTACCTATATAGAAGGTTGGATTTTATATTTATTTTTATAATACTACTTTAATAGGTAAAATAAAATTGGAAATGTAATAAGTAGGTACATGGTTTTTCAAAGTTACTGTTTTAATAATTTTTGAAAATACATGTTATTATTATTTATTTTGTAACCGTTTAAAGGTCAAATAAATAACGCGTAGGTACCTGCTTCATCTGGAAATAATAATATTTAACGAATTAAAATTGAGTAAAATAGATTATAGACATACTATTTATTATTTAAATTATAACGTGATAAATATAAAAAATTCTAGACTTTTGTAATCTGATCATTCCAGGGAAGGGAAAGTAAAAATATAGCAATAAACATTAATTTTAGTTACCAATCGCCTCTGCAAAAAAGAAATATCATACCGATGTTATTAATAGGTACCGAATGCAATATTTGATACAAATAATACATGAACTTTGTAGTTTTATTCAATGTAATTACCTAACTATTAGGTTTTCACTATCGCTAATACAAATTTATGAATTTGGATGTGTGAATATTAAAAATATTGACTACCTATGTGCATATTTATATGTATATATACTTATTATTTTTTTGTGATGCACATTTAGAGGTTATTTAATTTCCTTTATAATTAATTCACCTTATTTTCTATCTTCAATGTCAAATTTTATTTACAAATGGACATTGAAGCCATAATGGACGAAATAGTGAATACTATAATAATATAATATTGAAATTTCGCACAAAATAAAATAATACATTTTAATAAAAAAATGTTTTTAAAAATACTTACTAATATCAACTATAAAAATTATAATAATAATGAATATAGGTTATTAATGATAACTATATTAAAGTTAAATCAACATTTTCAATAAAGAGACTTTTAATTTCAATTTCGATAATTCCGATTGTAAAAAAAAAAATTGAGAATCATTAACATAAGTTAAACGTACAATCTGCATTTTTATTATGTATAGGTTATTTATCGTCTGTGGCTTGAAAAAAAAAACAAACTTGAAATAATTTTAAAATAAGGGGCACAATTTGATTGATACAATTGGAAATTAAACTGTAAAAATAATGACAAATATACAACGGGTATGAAAGTTTTGATTTAAAAAGTCTACTGTTTTTGTAAAATTTAGGTGACAATTTATTGTTGAGAAAATAACAGTAAGCAGAGCATACTACATAAAGTAATTGTTTAGTATGCAAATTCACAGTAAATTAAAAACACAAAAAATACGTACTTTCTAATTGTTCTGAAGAAAAAATACAAATAGATTTAATTGGCTTAAAAATGATTAATATATGAAAAATATTTTATTATAATATTCATTTAAGTTACTATTACAACTAGGTATATACTACTACTATATACTATATACTATATACTATATACTTCTAACTATGTACTACTACAACTATAATATATATGATTACGATTTTATTGGAATGGAGATCAATAAACTATCAGAATAAGATCAATTTACATGTTAGCAAAATAAATATAAATAATCATTACACATTAACGAAATGGTTCTTTTCATTCATCTAATCACTCAATATAGAAAATTAGTAATAGTATTGTAGTTTATGAACATGAACATAATTTATTTTAATAAAGTTTTTTTATTTTTGAAACAGAATATTTAACTTAATCTTAGGTATGCCACTCAAAAACACTAATTACCACTTTTGCATATGAAACATCTTCAAGATTTTGGTACAATATTATTATAAAATTAACCAACAATAACTTTGTTTTAACTAACAACTTGTTGTTAAAGAAAATTCGTAATTTTAATTTTCGATAACATTCATATCCATTTTTTTTTTTGGCTTTTTCCTTCAATAAGACAAATTATAGAACTTACTTCCATATTTCATAATGGCCAATGCTCCTATATAAGCAAATAATATTTAGCTTATACAATAAATTAGTTCGTTTCTAGTAAACCTATTTGAAGGTTATTTAATTTTTTATTTTAGGAATAAACGTTATTTTCTATCTTCAATGTTAATTTTTATCTACAAGTGGACATGGAAGTTATAATGCTGGAAATAGGTAATATTATAATAAAATAATATTTAAATTGCACACAGAATAATAAATTTGAATAACAATTTTTTTTTAAATATAGGATTCCCAAATTCAAATTCTAAAATTATAATTTATTTATTTATTAATTAATTATGCCAGTCGGCATTTACATAGTTATTAATATATATATATATATATACAGGTTATTAAATATGATAATATAAATGTAAAAATTATTGTTAACATAGATAATAATATTAAATTTAATATACTAATAACTTAATAATAATCATAAAAGAGAAATAATTTAATAGTTTAATAGTTTAATACTAGGAAGTTCAACAGCATCCTAATTCTGTGTGTGGGAAGAAAACTAAGATAAGAAGAAATATTATTTAGTACAAACATAATATGTAGTTTTAGATGGTGTTAAGGAGGCGAAAAGTTAAAAGCAATGGAAGGTCAAGGAAAGGAGATATTATTTAAAATAATATATGCATAATGCATATGAAAAAGGGCTAGTTCCCAAAGATTTCGAGAAGTGCCTAATGATACCATTACCAAAAAAAAAGAAGTCGGAAAAATGTGAAGACCATAGAACCATAAGTCTAATAACACATGCATCGAAAATATTAACAAAGATAATTCACAAAAGAATAGAAGCAAAAATAAGTGTCAATCTAAAGGAAGACCGATTTGGTTTCAGGAGGAATAGGGGAACCAGGGAGGTTATACTATGCTTAAGAATGATCATGGAAAAGATGTATAGAGTAAACAAGCCTATGTATATAGCGTTCATTGACTTATAAAAACCTTTCGACAACGTCAATTGGGAAATATTATTCAATATTATGAAAACCATAAATATCGATATTAAAGACGAAAGAATTATTCATAAGTTATACTTAAATGAAAAGGCTGTGATAACAGATAAAAGAAGCAAATCATGGGAAGAAGCAAATATTAAAAATAGATTTATCTAAGTTATCACTAACTCTATTTAATCTGTACATTTAAAAGACACTAAAGTAATTAAGGGAAGAAGAAAATGGAGGAATTAAAATTAATGGTATGCAACAAATGTTGTGCTTTGCAGACGATATAGCATTGATTGCGGAAAGTGAAGAAGGTCTAGGCAACATGTTAACAAAAATGAATGATAGCTGTGAAGAATACAAAATGAATATAAATAAGAGCAAGACAAAAATATTAATATGCAGCAAGCAGGAATTGCTTTCAAACATAACGATTGCAAATGAGAAGCTGGAAACTGTTCAATGTTTTACATATCTAGGAAGTAAAATAACACATGATAGAAGAAGCGAAATGGACATAAAGAGCAGAATAGCACAAGAAAAACAGGCATTTTACCATAAGAAACACCTATTAACGGTAAACACTGTTAGCTTAAACACCAGGAAAAATCTTATAAAGAATTTTGTATGGAGTATAGCCCTCTATGGGACAGAAACATGGACGATACTAAAAGCGGAAAGAAAAAAGATTGAAGCATTTGAAACATGGTGTTGGAGAAGAGCACTGAAAATTTCTTGGACAGAGAAAGTTAAAAATGAGGAAGTTTACCTAAGAATGAACGAACAAAAAGCAATATGGACGACAATCAAAGGAAGGAGGTAAAAATGGATCGGACATATTATGAGAAATAATGAATGGATAACGAAAATAATAGAAGGAAAAATAGAAGGAAAAATAGAAGGAAAAGCTGGAAGAGGTAGACCAAGAACACCATTTATGAAACAGATCATAGACAATATAGGGGAAACCAACTATAAGGAACTAAAAGTAGCTGTAATGGATAGGGATAAGTGGAGAGCCATCAAAGTTATTTAACCAATCTAAGGATTGAAAAAAAAAAGGAGGCTGAGCATTCCATCTATATGATGGTTGTGGTTGTAGTTTGTTCGGTGATAGATGACAAAATATAAAGAGTTGTTTCTATTTGGATAGATAGGAATACAAAAAGAAATAGAAGAAAGTAGATCGGGGGCTTCAATAGAGCAATTAAGTAAGGATGAGATAAAGTGGATGTCTGCATAAAAACGACGAAAGGAAAGACTAGAAACATTTAAGGATGACCTAATAGAAGGGTAGTCGTGAAGAGGGTGAGATTTAAAATATAAGCAGCGTAGGCAAGAAATCGGTTTTGAACCCGTTCAATAGGTAACTGGTCTCTAGAAAAATATGGTTGCCACACAACTATGCCATATTCTAGAATGGAACGTACTAGTGAGGAGTAGACTAACGAAGGCAAGGGATGTACGTAAATAGTCTAGTGTTGAGCTTTATAAAACCAAGTACTATTAGAGCTCTACCAATAATTGTATTAATATGATTGGTAAAAGAAAGAATGGGAGTAAGGTAGAAACCTAGATCCTTAACCACGAAAACGCATTTAATTTAAAAGCCATTTAGAGAGTGAGGGTGGATAAGAGGATCACGTTTCCTACTAAAGCTCATAAAGTGACATTTCTAAAGATTAAGTGTAAGACGGACCACTTGCAGAAGGAGTCAAGAGCAGATTGTAATTGGAAAATTGGAAGCAGTCTGAAGAGAAGACATTTTAAGATAAATTTTGATGTCATGAGCAAACATCAGGACTTTAGATGTGGAAAGATAATTATGAATAGTGTTAGTGAAGGGAATGAATATAAGATTACTTAGATGTCTCCCTTGAGGAACTTCTTAGGCAATATTTGACAAATTGGAAATTGCAACATGAACTTTAACATACTGCATTCTGGAATTAAGATACGACTAGAGCCAGGAAAGCATAGCGTTACCATTACCGATTCGAGCTAGTTCTGTAATAAGACGACAGTGATCAACCGTGTCAAAGGCTTTTCAAAGTCAATGAACACTGTATACTCTTGGCAACCAGATTCAAAGCTTTCTAAAATATACGATGTAAAAACTAGGCTGTTGGTGACTGTAGATTTCCCTGGTAAAAAACCATGTTGATCGTCGATTATATTGCTCAATTTCCTTTTAACACAAGAATATTCAATTGATTCAAACAGTTTGGCAATGTGTTAAAGTATGGATATAGGCCTATAGTTGGATACAAGAGAGGGGGTCAAAAGATTTTAAAACTGGTGCAACTGAACAAGTTGTCTTGAAAGATGACTTCATCTAAAGAGCACCTAAAGAGCATAAATAAAGGAAATACAATTGAATTTCGGCAGTTGAAGAGAACCCGCCCAGAAATACCGTCGGGGCCGTTAGAAAAGGTATTTTTTAAGGAGTAGAGGGCAGTTAGAACATCGTCAGGAGTGAAATAATAATTAGAAGGAGGGTCATAGGGGTAGATATTATTTTTGGAGATATCTGAGAAAGAAGACTGAGAGGTGCGAAACACAGATGAAAAATATTTAGGAAATAGATTGACAGAATAAGTTGGAGAGACTGCTGTCTCATTATCCAATTTTAATGTATTATTAATAGTAGTATTTTGATTTAACTCTTTGGTAAATTTCCAAAAGGCAGATGGATTGTGCAAGAGCATTTTTTCTGAGTTACTAATGTATGATTGGTAGTCAATTTTAGATAAGCCTTTACATTTTGCTCTGAGCTCTGAGAAAGCGGAGTAGTTAACTGTAGAATTGGAAAGTTTAAAAGCGGCATGTGCTTTTTTTTATGAAATATAAGATTCTTAAGAGCAGGGGAAGCCCAGTAAGGGAATTTCGGAGAATGAAAGGTCTTATTAGGAATATACCACTTAATTGATTGAAGCAGCGGTTGAAAATAGTAGCAGCACCAACAACTGAATACAGAAAAAAGGTAGCTTCCCCATCATAGTAAATAAGAAATCGTGATATTGTATAGTAGTTGGCACATTTAAAATCCTTATAATTATGAGTGTTTGAATATTAATTTTTGCCTTGGATAGGAAATCATATTTGCAGCGGAGGATGGTAAGAGTCGGGCGTTACAAGAGGCTCAGTAGCTAAGCATACTGTGACCTTAGTGGAACTTGAAAATATGAGATCTAGAGTATTTACTTGATTATTTGAATTGAGTTTATCTGGAAGAAGTTGTGGAATAAAAAAATAATCGATGATATCGGCGAAACAGTATTAAAATCCCCCGAAGCAGAAAGTCCTAACAAATCCGAAGACCAGTTAATATGAGGGATGTTATAATCAAAACAAAGGATAACTGAGTGAGGTTTGAGGTTTGATAAGACGTTTTCGATAGAGGAGAGATGAGACTCAACTATTGTAAGAGGTGATACAGAAAGTAGATACACACAGCCAAAAAGTAAATTATTTGTGTTAATGGACGACAAGGCAAAAAACTTGCTCTACATTCGAGACATTTAAAGGAGCAGGATGTGATTTAAGTGAGGAGTTGATAGCAATAAGAACACCACCAAAACGGGAAAATGAAGAAATCGGCACAATAGACGGAATTTCATCTCTTTTCACCATGATGTTTTTCTCACCATTTTTACGGTGGTAATGAAAATCTGTATAAGTAGAACGGATAAATGCACGTTTTCTTGGTGTACGGTCGCGAATGACAGAGATGGAGCGCGCTGCACTGGCGGCAGGAAGGTCCCTTACACCGATATTGAAGTCAGCAATAAGTTTTTGAGCTACCTCTTTAGAGGGCAGAAAAACTTTTAAGGGATGTGGTCCTCTATCACTTGGCTTACCTAGTCTAATTGATTTTAGGCTAGTGGGAAGAGCAGGAAAATAAGGCTGTAAGGCTTCAAATATTCTTGTAGTATGGCTAGTAATTCTGTCAACTAGGATAAAATAAGTAGATTCTGGAATACCACGAATAATGACATTACGTGAGAATTTTTCCCGTTCAGATATCTCCTGTAGAAGTGTTGGTACAATGTCAACCGTAGAAGTAGGGTTAGAACTGTTTGTAAATTCAAGGTCTTGGATACGTTTGTTAAGGTAATTTATATTGTTGTGAAGAGCTTCATTTTCGTTTTTTAAATCAATAACTTGAGTAGTTATTTGGCTTATGCTATCTTTAAGTTCGGCTAATTTCGTAGTTTAAGACTCAGATATAAATAAAAAACACAAATAAGTTTATATCTGATTAGTTTTTATAATTTATTGGCTTAAAAATGATTAAATATATGAAAAATATACCTATATTATCATCAATAATAAGTTAGAAAAAGTAATATTTTGTTGTTTACATAATAATCATATAAATATGATAATATTCTCTGTGTACATATCTATCGTCTTCGTTATAAGTCAAATTTAATTTAATTTCTCTTTCGCTTGTTAATTTTACAATTCTATGCCAACTCATAGTGCTTTGGAACTCGATGCAGCCCACCTACTTCGGTTTTTGTGCTTCTTTTCCAGTTTTCTTGGGGCAGCTTTTTCGTGAGTACTGAATTTTGTTTTGTTGTTATCACTTTGTACTCAATTCTCACAACCACTAACAGCTGTTTTCTGGAGACTTTAACGGTAGTTGCTATTGTTTCTGAATCACCACACAGTGTACCTCCATCTGCTTTTACCCAGTAACTTTAACGCTGGTACATATCTATCTACCTCTACTACCTTAAATACAATCCATACATACTCGTCATGAATTCAGGAAAAAATTCAATTAATAGCTCTTCTTCTGACCGTGTTCTTCGTACGCGCACTACTACTACCCAACCTACCTCCTCAAAAGTTCTCTCACCGGTTACAAGTACTTCAACCATTGATGACATGATGTCGACTCTACTTTCTTTTCGGAACGACTTGACAGCTTCCAATGAGAAGCTATTTACCACCCAAGCATCACAATTCAAAGACTTAAAAAACGATCTTAAGAAACTTTCATGTCTAATTGTGGACCTTAAAGCCGAAAATACTGCACTACGAAATGATGTTGACTCACTTATGTACAATGTTGCGAAACTTGAGTCAGGTTCAACCACTAACATTGCATCTAATACCGTTTCACAAGTTATACAGGAGACTTTTGAGCGTGAAAGATGTTCTTATAATGTACTTGCTTATGGTGTCACAGAGTCACTTTCTTCAACTATTGCTGAACGTATTAAAGACGACAAGGAAACTTTTCAAAAACTACTCGAAGAAAATTCGATTGAGCCCTCTCATGGTTCCCAATATTTTCGGCTCAGTAAAGCTCGTTCTGATTATGTCCGCCCTCTCAAATTTATTTTTACTTCAAAATAAGATGCAACTAAACTAATTATGTAATTTTCTGAGTTAAAAAACCAAGGGGTATCAATTACGCAGGGATTTCGAGTTGTCAAGGACAAGACCAAACTCCAACGGGAACTACTAAGATCATGTCACTCGGAAATTGACCATAGGACTAGCAATGGCAAATCTGGGCTTTCCATCAAGTATGTTAACGGTTCTCCGAAAGTGATCTCTGATAGGTCAAAAAACGGTGTTCACCCTCGGCGACTAACCAATCCAAAGTCCAACGCCCAAATCAACTAGTAGCTTCCACTTTATTATCCGGCTTCTACCAAAACTGTAGGGGTCTTAATACTAAGTTAACCAATTTTAAATGTAATGCATCATATTCTGTTAATTATATATTTATTGTACTAACCGAAACTTGGCTACACAAAAATATCTCTAATTCCGAACTTGGTCTTATTAATTATAATATTTTTAGATATGACAGATTTAATTTTAATAGCAAATGTAGTAGTGGCGGTGGTGTTCTCATTGGCATTCGTAAAGATTACCCCGCTTGTAATGTTAAAGTTACTCAATTAAATGTTGAATATGTTTTTGTCCGTTTTACTATTGGTCCGTATAGTTTCATCGTTCTTGGTGTCTATATTCCACCTCTCTCTCCTCCTTTAATTTATGAATCTCACGTCTCTTCCATTGAATATTTGATTAACACTTATCCTAATGACAAATTTATTATTTTCGGTTATTATAATATTCCTGAAACAAAGTGGGATAATGATGATTATGGTATTGTATACTCTTAGTCTTCTCCTACCCGTGCCCCTTGTATTCCCGAATCATTTACAACAAACGGATTCTTTCAAAAAAATAATATTTATAACTCAACAAATTCGATTCTCTGATGAAGCTTGATAAAGCTTTAACCGTTGAAAAGTCGCTTGACCCGCTAGTTCCTATAGATAAATATCACCCAGCTTTAAGTATTTTACTTCCATTTAGTCTCCCGGTACTAAGCTGTAAACAGAGCCGCAGGTTCTACAATTTCCAAAAAGATGATTATGGGAATATCCGTTAATTTGTGTCTACATTTAACTGGTCTTCAACACTTTCTCAATACGACCTTGACTCAGTAGTAAATGTTTTATACGACGCATTGCATAAATCAATCTTTGATCACATTCCTCAAGTCTCTTTTAATGAATCAACATACCCACCCTGGTTTACCAAAAATCTTAAAAGTATATTGTTTTTGAAAAAAAAGGCTCATATTAATTATAAGTCTTCTTTAAACATTAATGATTATAGAGAATTCTCTTTCCTACGAGCTAAACTTAAATATGAAACAAGAATATGTTATCGAAACTTTATACTCCGTACTGAAACAGCCCTTAGGACTAAGCCTAATGATTTCTGGAAATTTGTTAGGAACAACCGTGCTAAGATTTGTATTCCCGAGAAGTGTCATACAACGAATTCACTTCTAGTAATGAAAGAGAGACCGCCAATCTCTTTTCTGACTATTTTTCCACAGTTTACTCTACTAAACGAGTAGATTTTGATGCTAAAAAATAGATATTTGTACATATGATCTGCCCAATAATGGGCTACGCTAATAATGCTACGTTTAGCGTAGAAGATGTATTACATGGCCCATCTTCGTTGGAAAATGTGTGGTCAATTGGCCCAGATGGCCTCTCAGGTCACTTTTTATATGAATTAAGAACTATTATTGCTTATCCACTATGGCTTCTGTTTAGAAGGTCGCTTGATGAAGGCGTTTTTCCTTCCATGTTCAAATTCAGTTCTGTAACCCCTATTCCTAAATCTGGTAGCCCCTCCGTTGTTTCCAATTATCGACCTATTTCCATCCAATCGCATATTTCAAAAATGTTTGAACACATAGTCTTAAACTCCATTCAACCAACCGTTAATTCTATTCTAGCCGAAGAACAGCATGGCTTTCACCCAAGACGGTCTACTACCACATGCAATCTTGTTTTCAATAACTATGTCTTTGACTCTTTTCAACAACGAACTCAAGTAGATGTAATCTACATTGATTTTCAAAAATCTTTCGATTCAGTTAACCATAATGTACTTATTCATATTCTCAAAGAATCAGGTTTTGGCGAACCTCTTCTGTCTTGGCTAAGGTCCTTTGTTAGTAACAGGTATCAATGGGTTAAAGTCTTTGATGTTAAGTCTAATTTGTTCTTAGCTTCATCGGGTGTCCCTCAAGGGAGTCTCTGTCGCTAAGTTTGTTTTCATTATTTATAAACAACCTCCATCGTGTGCTACATCACTGTCAATTTCTGTGTTTTGCTGATGACATCAAATTATATCTGCGTGTAACCACGCCAGATGATTGTACAAAACTTCAATCCGACCTAGATCGATTCTCAAATTGGTTCAACACTTTAGGTTTAGCACTTAATCTCGATAAATGCAAAATTATGACCTTCACTAGATCCCGTTCTCTTATAATGTCCCCATACTTCATCAATAGTATAGCTATTACTCGTACTATGGACTATGTCGTGGATCTTGGTTTCAAGCTAAGCTGCAATCTTGACCCGACTGCTCACATTGAGTACGTGTGTTGTAAAGCTTTGAAACCCCTTGGTCTTGTCATCCGATTAGTAAAGGATTTTCGGCTTGAATCGTCATTAAAAACACTTTTCTGTGCGCTTGTGCGCCCCATTTTAGAATATGGAACCGTAATATGGGATCCTCATACTGCAGACAATGCAAGGCAAATTGTGCGTGTTCAGCGCCGGTTCCTATGCTATGCTGGTCATATCCTTAAGATTCCTCGTGCACCTCATAACTATACACCGGTTGCTATTCATCTAGGTATGGCATCCTTAGCCGAACGTCGCCGTGTCGCAGGTCTTAAATTCCTAGCGGGTCTTTTAAACAATAATATAGATTCTCCAGTCCTTCTCCCGCAAATCTCCATTAGAGTTCCATCCCGTCCATCCCGCTCAAAGGCCCTCTTCTATGTCCCGCACGCCACCACTAACTATATGGCTAATGTGTCTTTAAGACGCCTAATGTCGTCTGCCAACCAAGAACCTTCCTTCGAAGAATTGCTAAATTTTTAATATACAAATTTAAGTTAAGTTTTTTGTTTTAATGTTTAAGTTTTTATTGTCATCAGATAATTGTATTTCATATTAATGTAAGCTGTATATATTTAATTTAGTTTAGTCTTATTGTAAAATTTCTATCATTATATAAAATATACATTGTAATGTACTAATGTCAAAAAGGGCTAAGCCCGTATAACAAATAATAAATAAATAATCATTTACAAGATACAAGTACCACTATAATATATGATTATAGTATGATTGTATTAGAATTGAGATCAATAAATTATTACAATATAATCAATTTACATGTTAGCATAGTAAATATTAAATAGTCTAAATAATATGGGTAAAATGGCACAAATGGATGTATTCCATTGTTCATTGTTACAAATCGAAAAATATTTATATAATTTAATTTGATCGTCAATAAATTCGGCGTTAAATATTTACGGTGAATATAAATAATCTAGTCCTATTAAATCGTAGTAGAAGTGATTCTGACTCTCAAGGAAGTCGAAGAAAGGGCTCGTTAAGTGGCAGATGTTGCGGACGACTGATTAGCAGAACGAGATTCAAGATCGGTGGGCACAGGCCGGCTCAAGAAAAGGAATGTGGACGGCTGTCTTGGCCGGCCCTAGAAGACATATAATCAAACAATAAACTATGTTAAAGGACGGTTCGGGGCATGTCTCGGCCGTCATATGTGGCTACGAAATGTAAACTATGTAAGGAATCACGGAGCTTGTAGCATGCTCATACACACCAGCCTAGCTGATGAAGGCATTATACGGAACATGCGAGCCGTAACCATATGATGTGTAATTATAAATAAATGATGCTGCATTGTGGCCAAGTAATATGCTAAACGACGTGCGGCTACCATGTAGTGGCAATACACACACACACACACACACAAAAGGCTTATTAAATCCTACTGTTATAATTCAGGATATTTCTTGGAAATATTGACCAAAAATGATTATATATTGGACTCTCGCACACTTATGTCTAACCTAAACTTTGCACACACAAATCACTTTGGTGTCATCGTGCAGTGGCTTAGCAAGGAGATTTTCTGAGGGGGCTGCAGCCCCTTCCCCGAAACGTTTAGACAATTTAAAAATTATTTTAATGGTCTATGATATTTGCTCAAAAACTCTTACATTATTACTATATTTTAAGTATTTAAAAATTTACTCTGAGTATTGCGTAATACTTTTCAGCTATCTATCTGTGCTAGTACGTATTTAATGTATTGCAGTATGAAAGTTGATCAGCCCCCCACCCAATCCCCAAAAAAAATCCTGGCTACGCCACTGTCATCATATTAAATCGCCTATATTAATTTCTTTAAAACACGACCGATTACACAACCCTCTAAAGAGCTACAATTTATTTGAGATAAAATAATTAATGTTC